TTCACAGCAGTGTAATTCAGATAAGCATCTGGCCCACAGACTATGCTGGCACAGACAAAGGTTTGTTTTCTTTTTCCAGAACTAGGAATTTTTCCAAGATGTCCTGACTACTGGGAGAAGAACATCTGACCAAAGTATGCTCACCAGATGATAGATGTTTCCATGTGGGTAAATATTAAAAAAATTCTAGATCTGTGCAAACTGTGAAGTAAGGGTGGGAAAAGTTTGCTGTTGTTTTTCAGTTTTAGCTGCCCCTGCAACTCATAAACACAAGAGGAAAAAAAGAAAAAAACAAAAAACAAAAAACAAAACCCAAACCACAAAACAAAGCTAATTTGAGTTGAAAAAAAGATAAATATCTTATAATTTTTACTGCATATGACATATGTTTAATGATTAATTTCAGAAACTTTAAGGTTGACATCTTTCTTTAATTTTTTTTCTTTTATTTCCTTAACATCTTTATTACTTTGCTATCAAAAAAACCCCAACCAACCAAACAAAAAACCCCTTCTGCTGTAAAATGTGTTAGCCCCACTAAAAATGTCAAGCAAAATAGTTTTTATAGGGAGGGATATGTGGGACAAAAAAAACCCCAAAAGGTCTGTTTTTAAGGGCCAGCTGAAGGTTTCATGCAATCAACTCCTTGCACCCATTCTCACCTGCTGGGCAGGAGCAGAGGGCAGAGTGGGGTAATGCCTCTGGCACACCAGGTCCTCATCCTCTCGGAATAGTTGAAGTATTAATGGACAGTCATTTAGCAAAGACATTGCATTGAGCACTTTTCTTCTTCTGGCTGTGCTGGTGGGCCTGTAAGTTGAAGCAAAGCAAGGAGAGGGGAATACCACAAAAGCTGGCTGGTGGTGAGATTTAAACTGCTCCAGCTGTCGACTGGCTGGATGAGAGGAGCAGGCCTATGGTGCAATAATGCATGCCCAAGCAGTCCTCTGGGTGATGTAGCATGCCAGGCTTGGCTCCAGAACCCAGCCTCAGCAGGAGCACAGACCTCTCTAACTTAAACAGCTGCAAAAATGTTTTCTGGGTTAGTAATTTGTCCCAGATTTAAAACCACATAGACAGCTAGAGGGTACATTGACACCGCACGGTGTAGCTCAAGGAAAAAGTAAGCTGGCTTACATGGAAAAAGATTTATAGCTGAAGTGGAATAGCAAAGAGGTGCAAAGTTATTAGAAAATTTCCAAGTGCAGTGAGCTTCAGATCCCATATCCACAGAGACACATGAAACAGAAGAATTGTCACAGTCAAAAGGCATGGCAGCAGAAGAAAATGTTCTTTAGTGTTCCTTATACTGAACTTTAAATAACTCAGACAGCTTCTAACTCTCTCTCATGCTCCCCTCTCTACCAGAAACCTATTGCTTATAATGCCTTTACATTTATTTGTGTTTTCACTGGGTGAACATGTGTCTTTGATGAGAAAGTGAGTAGTGAAATTGGGATGTGAAGAAGGTGATGACAGAAATAGGTGATGCAGAAATGCAACCATTTTCGCTCTTCAAGAAAGCTATGTCTATGAAGATAAATAAATAAAAGCAAATATTAACCAGAATTTTACAATATTTTTTCTTTAGGACAGTAAGATAGATGTTCAATCTTTAATAAGCCTAAAGAGATAAATGTTGATTAACTAAATACATACAATCCTAGTTAGGATCTAACCATGAAGCAGAACTGAAGAAATGAGATGCCTTGAAAATGTGGGAAATAGAATTTTTCCAATCATATGGTCTTAGATGGGAAATTTTTTATCACAAAGTCCTGAAACAAAGATATTCTATGTTTTCTTAAAACAGATAAACGCTTAAATATACTTTTATGGCTTAGATAACTTTTATGAAATATATTAGGAAAACAGTTGATTTCAGCTTCATACCAGATTAAATATATGACTCCTATTCCCTTGTTCTATAATGTTTATGAGAAAGCTATTGAAAAAAACCAAATATATTTGTTCAGTTTAAAACAGAAAAAAATGAGTTTTCAGATAAACCAAACCAAGAAAAAATATAATCAATAGTTTGTGGACAAAGTAAATATATTAAATATAATCTATATTCAAGAAAAGTAACATCTGTTTAAAAAGCAACTTGGCAAGTAATATAACTCAAGAGATTATATTCTATGGAATTGGCTTAGGATCAGAAGAAAGAGTGATTAATGATATAAAAGTTAATATCCAAATTACTTCTGACACACTGGCTTTTCTCCTAAGACAGAAAGTTTAAAGTTTTTGGTACAGAAGACAGTAGATGAGGGGGATTGCAATATTTTTATTAATGCACTTATGTGTATGCACATGCCATGCTTACTTACCTAAAAAGCCTTACCTGACTTTTTTCTTTGTTTGTTTTCATGTGAGGAGCAGTTACCACAAATATGCTTGAGTAAACATATTTTCTACTTTGAATAAACATATTGCATATCACACTTTGACCATTTAAAAAAATGAACATGGACCTTTTATGTTGGTTGTGTTGTGTCATTTATTCCTTAAATTTTAAGAATTTCTGCATAAACTAGAACTACAACTACTGCTTTCCAAAAGAAAATTATGAGTGTATGGAAGGGAGTGAGGTATTGGGAAGAGGACCTCATGTTGATTTTAATATACAATTTTCAGTGAGAAGAGAGGAAATATAGGGAAGAAATTGTATCTTTGAAAGGTAGCAGACAACCACTAGAAAGAAGATCTGTTTGGGATTTTTTTTTTCTTTTCTCCTTCCTTGAAAGTTGCTATTCAGCTCTTTGGAAGAGAGAAACCTGACTTATTTTGCAAATGCAAAGCCAGACTGCTGCCAGGAACAATTTGCAGGAGTGATTAATAAAGCCTGTTTGCTTTATGGGATTTCCATGGAGGTAAAAAGGTATGCATATGATTTTGACACAATCAGATAGTTCACTCAGAGTATTATGGCAAAAAAAAAAAAAAAAAGAAAAAGAATTAGTATGGCTCTTTTAAAAGGGTATCTCATTAGAGCATGCTTATTGTCTTCTTAGCAGATGTTGCATTTAAATGTAGCGAGCAATGGCCAAAAGCAGGAAGTAATTCTGAGAAATAAATGGCACAAACCATCCCAGTTTCCTGAATGAAGGTGAAAGTGGCTTGGCAATATTCACACAAGGTGCTGTTCATTTATGCAGTATTGAAATTAAAGAGAGAAGAAGGGAACGGCTTTGTGTGCTGGTGAAAATGTAACATGAAAGTAGAATAGATTCTAAATTTGCAAATGAACCAAAATATTCCAGGTGGCATGAGTGCACAGCAAGAGACTTTTCAGTAGCAGCAAAGGCTGGTGAAAGGGTTTAACTTGCACTTTTGGATCTCTGCTCTTAGTGGTGCATGGTATACTAAAGAAAAAAAAGCCAGAATACTTTAAATTTTTGCTCCCGACTTCAGTCTGGCAAAAGTAAAACCAACATTAATGGGTAAATACCATAAAGAAGGAAGGCAGCTATTTAACTGTCTGAACAGAGGAAATGAACATCAGCTTTTGATGTTCAGCTTTACTTGTTAAATGTGAAATTCTTAGGTAAGCCCAGCAAAGGGCTGACAAAGGGTTTAATCAGCAATATAATCCTACTTAAAGTATTTTTAAGTTCTACATGGAATTTTAAGAACCTTTTTACAACTATCAGAGCAAAGTGGAATTTTATTCAAGAACAGTAGTAGGTAGCACGACAGTTGAAAAACATCTAGAAATGTGTCTGAAAAATAGTCTAATATCTGCCCAGCTGCCAGTTCAATTTCATGGCAATTTAACAGCAGACTACTATTATGGTTATGGTATTGAAAGTAATCTTTCTCTGTATTTAATTTAATTGTTAAACTAACATGCAATAAATAATTCTTTGGATTGAGGTGGAGATACATATTCCTTTTTTTAAAGTTCAAAAAAATTATTCTCATTGCAAGATAGTATTTATGAGGAAGACATTGAACACCCTTTCTGGGAAGAATGGTGCTGCTGATAGGAAATTATCTCTAAAAGAGAATTACTATGAATCACGTAGTTTTATATAGATTTATCTGTATTATATGTACTCATACAAAAAAGATCTGTATCTCTAATTATCTAGGAGATGAATGTGCAGGACAAATCTCTTGCATGGTCTCCCATCATCATGCAGGATTCTTTTCAAGTAGAAGAAATCAGATCTTAGACAAGTGTTGTACAGTGGGATGACTCTGGACATGGTCCCATTTCTCTTCTTTTACAGCAGAAACAGCAATATATCCTTGCTTTACATGACTGATTGTTCTGCCAAAGGGCATGCATATCTAGGTGACACAGTATGTATTTCCTGTGGCAAAGCTAGTAAAAGAGGCAAGGTATTGGAAAATGCCATCTGAAGATACCAAAATACACCTATATGGAGAATACCTTCATTTCAGTCTTCCAGGGTTGCTAAAACTAAAACAAAGACAAAATAAGACAAATAGCTCTGTAGATGCATATATATATAATTATTTTGTAAAATCACTCTTTTAATTTTCTATGATATGTAGGTCAACACAGTTTGGATTAAAGGGAAATTTTATATTTTTTGTCTCCAAGGACTAAGGATTGAAAAACAAAGATTAAGCCCTTTATTTTGCTTCATCTGAAAAGCTGATGGAGTGGTGGAGATGCTCCAATTAATTTGTCTTTGTATATAGCATATGACATAAAAATAATCTGTTTTCATTATGATACATCTGTATTTTCCACTTGTTTTTACAAAATATTATACTTTACCATTTGAGGGTATGACACTGCTAGAGCTCATGACACATGATCTGCATTACAACTCATAATTTAATACTTATTTAAATGTAGCCTAACAGAGCTGCAAATTTAAACAGAGAGCAGCAGTAAGAGCTATAATTTCCATCAGGTTCTCTGAAATGCTTCACAATGAAAACTGATGTCATCTGCAGGTTTTAAGAGAGTTAGATATTGGGTTTGTTACTTTAATAAGTTTCCAGAATGAAATCTTCTCTAAGGTGTCATAGTTTGCTCTTTTATTAACTTGTAATAATTCAATAAAGAACAAGTTTCCAATGTCCTTTTATAAAAGCGAAAACATTCATGTCTTACATAGGAGAATACTGAGCAGACAGTAAAACAGAGCACCATGTTAGAAGATTGATCTAAAAAATATCACATTTGTATAGAATCTTAGTGAATTACCCTTATCATAGTAGTTTTATTAAATATTCTAAAATTGGTTGTCCTGAAAATTGTCATGCCCTGGGTTTGTTTATTCTGCAGAAAGAGCTAATTTCTTCTTTTAGTTTGAAGTGAATAATATTTTACTTCCCAAGAATTCCCCGTTCTATACTATCAGCAATCCCAAAAGGTGTTAGTAGCAACAATATATGTAGGAAAGTTCAGAACAGATGAATCACTGTCCAGACCACAGTGCAATATTTTCAGTATTTATGGAAAGTCTCAGTTTCACTTCAGTGCCTCATAATGTTATGATGATTATTCAGGTGAAAAACACCTGAAAGACAACTCAGTCATTGGACACAGCCAGTACGGCTTCATGAGAGGGAAGTCCAGCTTAATAAACCTGATCTCCCTTTATGATAAGCTGATCCCTAGCTGATCAAGGGAAGGTGGTTGATGTGATCTTTTTGGATTTCAGCAAAGTTTTTGATAGTCGCTCTCACAGGATCCTTCTGGAAAAAATATCCAACACACAGCTGGATAAACACATCATGTGATGGGATAGCAACTGGCTCACAGGTCAGGCGCAAAGAGTTACAGTGAAAGAAGTGACATTGGACTGGGGTCCTGTCATTAGTGGGAATCCACAGGGTTCCATTCTCGACCTAGTGCTCTTCAGCATCTTCAGAAATTATTCAAAATGCAGGACTGGAAGGGATACTAAGTGAGTTTGCAGATTATACAAAACTGTGAGGATCTGTCAACTCCCAGAAAGGCCCTACAGAGAGACCTCAAAAAGTTAGAGAGGTGGGCAATGACAATCATAAGAAGTTCAACAAGGGCAAATGCAGGATTCTGCACCTGGGATGGGGCAACCCTGGATGTATGGACAGACTGGGGAATGAGATGCTGGAAAGCAGAGCTGTGGTAAAGGACCTGGAGGTTATGGTCAATGACAAGTTGAACATGAGTCTGCAGTGCCCTGGTAGCCAGGAGAGCCAACCATATCCTGGGGGGCATCAGGAAAAACATCACCAGCCAAGCAAGGGAGAGGATTGTCCCACTCTGCTCTGCACCAGGGTGGCCTCACCTTGGGTGTTGGGGACAGTTTTGTGTGCCACAATATAAAAAAGATATTAAGCTCTTAGAGAGCATTCAAAGGATGGCAGCAAAGCTGGTGAAGGGTCTTGATGAGTAGCCATATGAGGAGTAGCTGAGATCATCTGGCCTGTTCAGCCTGGAAAAGAGGAGACTGAGGGGGCACCTCACTGCTGTCTATTACTTCCTTGTGGAGAGGAATAGGAGGGGCAGGACTGATCTCTTCTCTGCGGTGATCAGTAACAGAACAGGAGGGAATGGCCTAAAATTGTGTCTGAGAAGGTTTACGTTGGACATTAGGAAAGCTTCTTCCCCCAGAGGGAGCAGATTCCCCAGGGAAGTGGTCACAGCACCAAGCCTGACAGAGTTCAAGTAGCATTTGAACAATGCTTCCAGGCACAGGGTGTGATCCTTGGGGTATCCTGTGCAGGGTTAGGGGCTAGAAAAGGTGATCCTTTTGGGTCTCTTCAAACACAGCTTATTCTGTGATTCATTTTGGTATGAAAATATTGATGTTCAGTCCACAAATGAAGCCAGGAAACATACTCTAACAGAATCAAGTGTATACACAAAGAACAGATCTTTGTAAGCTGCTAATTAGTGCAAAAAAAGAAGAAAATTCAAGCTTTGCAAAGCATTGGTGAAGGTATAAATCTCTGATTAAATATTTTTCTTGCAGAAGACAATCACTTTTCCTAGCATAAGAATAAAAATCATGTCTTCAAATATATATTTTTGAAATCTGCCTGAAAACCAGTTATCATCAATTTTATGTCTTCTTTTTTCTTTTTTGTTTTTTTTTGGTTTTTTTTCTTCCAGAATCTGGTAGCCTTTTTTGTGTGAATGTGATGAATAAAATATGTGTTTAGTGAAGGAGAAGCTGGATGCCCTACAGTGAGTGCTCAAAACATTAGCTTTCATAACTGAATTCTAGAATCTCCTGGAATAAATGTATTGTTAATTATTTCTTCAAAGTCAGGTCAAATTCACCTTCAAGTAAGAATAGTGCATGCCTCTCATTCTTAGCACTTACCAGTATTCACAGCCAAGGAAAACTTTCTCTGAGGGCATCTGTGGGTTAGATCTCTTAAGACTGGTAACAATCAGATGAGAGATCTTGATGCTAAGCCATTGTGCCAATGATGATATCCAATACTAGTGCTATTTTGAAAAGGAAAGCAGTTTTATCCAGCTTGGAATTAAAAAATACCATTTAGATTGCTTAGGCTTATGTCATTTAATTTGTACTAGCCATTCACATTGTCTATGGTTTTGATTATTTGAGAGAGCATTTGAAATCAAGAGTATATATTTCAGGAGTATTTGAAATCTTGGGATTGAGTGTATTTTCAATTCTAATTTAGAAAATTGCTTCAGACATATTGCATTTCTGAATAAAAATAAAGGTTCCTGCTTAACCTAGTAACATTTGTTTTGGCCCTAATAGTTAGAGATCAAGGAAAAATAAAGAATTACAAATAAAAGATCAAGTGGATACAAAGAAAAGCTACAAAAATGATTGGAAGGCAGGAGCACTTCTGCTATGAGTAAAGGCTTAGAGTTGGGGTTGTTCAGCTACAGAACAGAAGGCTCCATGGAGACCTTATAGCACCTAAAGAGAGCTGGCAAAGGGCTTTTTACTGGGGCATGTAGTATCAGGATAAGGGGGAATGGCTTGAAGCTAAAAGTAGGTTTAGAATAGATATTGGGAAGAAATTCTTTACTGTGGCGACAACAAGGCACTGCAACAAGTTGCTCAGAGGAGTTGTAAATGCCCCATCCCTGAAGGTGTTCAATACTGGTCTGATGTGGCTCTGTGCAATCTGATCCAATGGAAGAAATCTCTGTCCATAGCAGGAGGGCTGGAACTAGATGATCTTTAAGGTCCTATTATACCCAAACCATTCTGTGATTCTATAAAAGAAAAATAGAAGACTGACAGCTTATTAAAAAAAAAAAAAAAAAAAAAAAAAAAAGAAGATTGACTAATTACCAGCTAATTATTTTTGAAATGTGGAATATCAATATTAAAAAGCAAGTCCTTCTTAAGTATTTATAATAATTTAAGACTAGCATGTATTTGCCTTTTTTTTTTAAGAGAGCTTCAATTTTCCTTTTCAAATTGAACATGTATGGCACTTTTAATGTATTTTACTGAAGATATGTATGTAAAAATCCAGAGATCTAGGTGTATATTAAGGAACAAAGAAGCAAATACTTTCTTTGAAAAAAAGATGTTTTTCTGAATTAGGTAGAAACATATACCAGAAGATTTATTTGACAACATACCTTACCTCTGTATTGGGTGATTTGCCAAAGCTGGGCTCGAATTTATCCAGCTTTATGAACCAGGAAGATCAATTGCATTGATGTTTTGTGTAGATTTTAAAAATAATTTATCCTTCTGAAATAGCCATGTTAGGCTTGTATGTACTCATCCTAGACTGAACGCTAGTCAGTGCAAGCATTCTTGAAATTTAATTCTTGCCTTCCAGATTTAACTAAACCCCCTAAATGTAATCAGATGATAAGCACAGTATTAATGAGATTGACAATAAAATGTTCATCTCTGTCACACTTGCTACTCACGTATTTCTTAGTGTGTCTACTGACACAATCTAGGGAATTTCTTAGAGGAAAAAGCCCCATAGAATCTCTTAATCTAAATCTATGCATATAGTGTAAATCATATGCTATACAGCTTCCCTGTGTGATGCATTAGAAGCCCAGAGCTAACACTGAAGTCATATAGACTGGAGGAACTTTTCTGCTTATTGTCTAAAGTCAGGCAAGATATGTTTATAGGAAATAACCAGAGGCAGTGGGAAGATGTCTACAACATTAATACAAACAGAATTAGAAAACTAAAAAAAACCCAAAACACCCAAAACACCCCTAATTAAGAAACATATTAATTTCTCATTGTATTAGGAGTCTTCATTTTGTGTCTCTTCTATTGACTGCAGGTCATCCAGGACAGGCTGGAGATTACATTTGCCCCCAACTGATTAACCCAGTACATTTTGCATTTGTATCATCATGAACTGGACAGGTAGATATGGAAGGTATGACAATCCTTGGAAACCATGCTGTAGTATTCTGCTATCTGCAAATTTCTCAGGGGGAGCTCTCCATATCATGAACAAAAATGTTGAAACTGAGGTCTGTTAAGATGCCTCTCTAAGAGAGCAATGCTGCTCTTGAGGTACCTGGGTTTGATACTGACATTGGTACTCAAGCAGAAAGCTTGCTTGGTGTGAGGCAATTTGAACAAGTAAGGAGAATAAATTGGTCCCTTAGGCAATAGAGAATCCAAGTAATGCTCATTTCAGTGAAAAGAGCCAGGAAAAAGAATAAAGGATATTTGTTGAGACAGAAAACCAGATGCAATTATCTATTTTTTACATAATTGTCATGTCAGATTTATAATTTTATACATTCCCTTTTTGACAAGAAGTTGCAATGACTAGCCACATTATTTTCTTACAGTGCTCAGAAGTAAACTGCCAGTTTCAGGACAGATCTCCTTGTCAGAACTGCCCGGAAAAGAAACACATTACCAACTACAGGACAAACGCATACTACCATGAGATTTTAAATTTTTATGTGCATAAGGTGCAATCCAATTTCTTTTCACAACATAATGGTCATAGATTTAAACTTTTTGGCAGTTATAAGACAGATTTTTTTTTTTTGTTCTGTATAGTCCACATGATCTCTCTTACAGAGAAATAATAATAAAAAAGAGTTTAAAGATCTCAAGAGAGGTTTGAGAACCTTTTGTTTTCTATAAAATTCAAAATTTTCAACAAATTAATGTTTGTATATTGCCTGACCAAACTGGTAAAAAATAAATTGCTTTACTTGTTTTGTGTTTTCCCCAGATATTCTGTGTCTCTAGTGAAGAGCTGAAGTGTCTATTTTTCTGGGGAGTGGCACCAGTTGTGACCCACTTGATTGTATGCACTCTGTACCTTCTCAGGTGGCCTTGCTTTATTGATTTGGTGTTTGAGAAGTCCAGACACTAATGCTCTTAATGATCAGCCATTCTTTTTGACTTTTAGTAACAAGTATTCTCATGCAGTTAATATCAAACAGAACTTTGTGCTCTAAATCTGTTATTTCAAAATTCCCATTTTTGAACTCCCCTAGTCTCAAGTAAGTTGTACATTGTCTTCCTTTTTTACTGCCTATAATCTTTTCACCTACTTCTACGGCCCCATGGTGTAAAATGTCATTTTGCCGATCTTCAGTTCCAGTGACAACTTTAATTTTGCTGATTTTAATGGGCTTTTCAAATACAATTCCATAGAAGTCTCCAGTAGAGGGGGCTTTGCCCCAGAAATACTCATCAATGCTGCTGTAAGCCTTGCTCGCCTCATAGTTTTCAAATACATTCATATTGGTGTGCAAGTTTGCAGGTGGGTTGTCAGGGATATCAAAGGATTCCTCTTCAAAATCATCATCCTTTAACTTATTTTCAGCTCCTTTGTAAGACGAGTAGTATCCCATGTGCTGGAAGAGAGATGGCTTAAAACGTATTACTTCCTTTTGAGCTAACAGCCCACGAAAGTGGATGAGCAACCAATCGCAAGGCATTTCTTGGTAAAACATCAATAGAAAATGGGCCAGGCGTGGTAGGTCATGGGAATGGTAAAGCTTTCCAATGTACCCCAGCTTGGAGAATTCCAACGTCACCCAATAGGATCCTTCTCGTGAGGTAATTACTTTCTTAACAGCAGTCAAAAAATTCTTTGAGCAGCGAACGTCATCTTCCAGCATCACATAATAGTCAGAAAGATTAGCACAAAAGTTTAGAAGGAAAGCATAATCGACATTTTGTTTTGATCGAAACTTCACACGGTCCTCGGGGTCATTGTAATTTCTCTTAAGGCCATCCAGTACAGGATAGTAATCCTCAGGGACGTGAATAACTATTAATCTGCCCGCAATTATGTGATGTGCAAATTTCTGCGAAATATCTTGGACCATCCCTTCACACCAGGCTGAGTCAAAATCTGCCAGTTGTACTACCACTGCAATTTCTTTGAGTTCCTCATAGCTTGACTGTTCAAATATAGACTTGATGGTCTCAAGCAAGTAGTTTCCCTTTTTTCGTTTTACAGAGGATAGACCAATTGTAAGATACCCTGTACAGAAGACAATTCAAACAAGAGCTGAGTATCTGATATTGGAAGCAATTTTATCACAAAGATATTATGCTGTGTTTATATTAAATAAACCTCGCGAATGGTGAAGATTGAGAAATTTGCTATGTGAAGCTGCATGCAACAAAGGACCTTTATTGCCTTTTTATTAAGAGGTATGATATTGCAAGCAAATAGACATATAGAGACTATTGAGTTAAACATTCACTTGTTTACTGGAAGAAGTAGTGGATGGGGACAAATGCCAAAGCAGTGTGTACATTTATGCCTTCTAGACAAAACCACATATACAATGATAAGGCTGTAAATCTGCCAAAAGAAAGGGGATTATGAGGGGATTATTCACACCATATTTTGAAAGCAAGGAACTACCAAATGCAGCAATTCTATCTTTTTAAGACCTCTAAAAGTCTAGTTACATCTATGCATAATTTTACAGTTTTATGAATTTTGTATGGATAAAGATTTCTAGTGTGTTCATTTTTAGGTGAATTTGTCTACTTTTCCCTTGCTAGTAGTTTTTCTTCTAACCCTTTTTCACAACTCATCAAGTCCTGATAAGGGAACATTTAAAGGGAACATTTTACAGGGAATACCCTGCAATTCAGACATTATTTTAAAGTAGAAGTCAACTTGTCTCCTTTCTTGTACAAATAATTTTTAATGCTGTTACATTCTTTCTAGACAGAGATATATCTTATAAAACAAGAAATGTAATTTCTGCTGTTTTGTAGCTGCTGCCTTGCATTTTTACCAGCATTCCAAATCAGGATTTTTTCAGATATTTGTTAATATATCTCTATTTTTCTAACTACTGATGTAAAAAATGGTAAGACTTTGTAATTGACTGGGTGTACTTAAGTTGAACCTACCCCAGCTTTCTTAAAATATAGTCATTTGTAAAAGACTGCTCTGATAGTGATTCAGAGTTTCCCCTTGAAGCTTAAGTCTGCTCAAAATGAAGTGGTACAGTGAAGTACAGCCCCCAGAAGTCATTTACACTGCATACAGAGCCCCAGATTTTCCAAATCTAATTAGAACAGACTTTATAGCTTTCTACAATTCCCATATTATTTTATTTTCCCTTCTGTGCTTGGACTTCACAGCCTTGTTTATGTATGTGAAATGGTTGATTTGGAACCCAAAGGACACCTGCCTAAAGGCTAGGTATGGCCATATTTCACTTTTAGAGGGAAGTCTTGAACCATGTGTGAAGTAAGAATAACTACATAGTCCATCTGCTGATGGCTGGGTGAAGAATTCTCCTTTACTCTCCTAATAATAGCACAATTCAGCTCCCTTTTTAGCACAGCTAAAGGAGCAAAGAGGTCCATTTGCAGCTCCTGGAGTGGCAGAATTGTGGACCTGATGTGTGCATCCGTGTGATGCCAAGAATACTTAAGATTGGATTTGCCACTTATATGGAGATTGACAGTATGGTCTCAAAGGGTGGTTGCAGAATACCACCAGGATGTGCCTTGCTTCTACTTTCTAAATCATCTTTCCTTTGTCTGGGAGGAGATCGATGGAATTATGCTCCCACAGACATCCAGGGGCTGCCTGCAGGACATCTACAAGTCAGGCAGTGGGTCAGAAGGTAATCAGGCTGTCGGGCAATTACTGCTAGGTCTGGACTAGAGGCCACTCAAGATTGGCCACTAACTCTCTTGAGACTTAACTCAGCCCCTCTTGCATAGAAATACCACAGGGACTATATGGATTTCACGCCTTTTAAAATTACCTCATTTTGCAATATTCAAATTGCAGTTACTTACTTTTCCTTGGCAAAGGTGTGCCAGCTAGGTAGCGATAGGAAATGTTTATAGATCCTGAGAAATTAGACAAATCTTTAAAACTGTGAACATAACGCTCTGGGTTGAGCTGGTGCGTGGCTGTTTCTCTGATTAATTGCTTGTCCCCTTCCTATTAGTGGGAAAACAAAAATAACAAAAAAGGAGAGAGAGAGAAACACATTTGTGAATGCCAGTTAGAGAGGAAACATGGACAGGCAGGTTTCCAAGAATAACATTTTTCAGTTTCAGCTTTCATGAAAGTATGTAGATGTCACCTCATTTAAAACAAAAACAAACAAACAACCCCCCCCCAAACAAACAAGCATTACTCAATATCATACATTTTGGTTACAGAAAATCTACTATAAACCTTCAGAATAGAGTAAAAGTAAAAGAAAAAGTACTTTGTATAAAATTCTGGAAAGGTAGCAAAAATTAAATTATTGGCCAAAAAATTCTGTGGTATTCAAAAGAGGAAAAAGAAAATATCACTCAGCAACAGATAAGATAATTTTCATAGATGTAGAAACACAGAAGATTTAAAAAAAAATTTCTAGTGATTAAAAAAATCTACCAAAATTGCTGCCAATGAAAGACAAACCTAGACCCTGGCACCTGGCTTGTTTTGACATTTTTCTGAGAAGCTTTGACTCAGGTTTGCTTTAAGAGGAAATGCATGTGATCATGCAGACAGTTAAAGTTTCTCTGAATTTGGAGAACACTTTTTGATGTCATAGTCAAAAGGTACATTTATCACCACACCTCCTCTTCCTTCCTCCTTCTTCAGCCCTTTCCTTCCAAGAGGCTTTCCTAGTCATAGCAAAGGCAGAGAAGGCAAAGAGTGGCTTCATCAGTAGTGCCCTACCCATACGGTCACTTGGGCCTCAGGGAAAATCTGTTCTTCAGCCCTTAAGAAAAGGGAAAATACTTAACAGGTCATGAAGACTGAATTTAAAAGTAAGAATGCTCATTTAATTTATCTGGTTTGATTTTTGTCTGATGACAGGCACACGTATTAATGAGTTTGTTTCTTCTGATGTATGCAATATGTTATGCACTAAAACTTCAGGATCTGTCACTAAATGGGAGCATTGTGCAGTAATAGTACTGATGCTTACAGAAACAACCATAGAAAGAGTAAACAGTGCTCATATTTAATGGCATAAATATTAAAAAATGTGTCAAAGCTATATTTTATAGCACAAATAAATCTTTCTGTAAACTGATCTTACATTCATTTATAGCTCATTGTCTTTCTTGCATAGAAGTAGTAAATAATCCACTTCTGGGCTTAGTAAAGATATTTGGCAGCCATCCAGGGGCATCTACCTGCAATGTTATGCTCTCTTGATCTTCAGTGTTTCTTGTGTAATTTCTCTCAAGTGCTTATGTGCCACTTTGCATTTACTCATAAATTATGAGAGGAAGTTTAATGATCAAGTTCAGGATTAAAATGTAACTTAATGATCTAGAAAGAAAATACACCAAAACTTCAGGTGGAAAAGAAAAAAGGCTGGTCCAAAAACTTCCTTTTTTCAAAACCCTTTCTTTAATATCTGAGAAGCAAACAAAACATTGTGTCATGGGTTCCAGAATGGAGCACCAAAATTCCTTGTTTCATAAGGTCTTGGAATGGAAACTTATTCTGCTGAGGTTTTGCTACATAAAATATTTAGAAATAGACAATGTCAGAAGAAAATGTTTTGATTTAACAAGCAAAATATCTAAACTGACCACAAAAATTTTCCTTCCCCCGCCCCTCTTTAACAAACGCCTCCGTGGCTTACATTTCTTTTTAATAGCTGCTCTTTCATTCTATGTTGAATGATGGGCAAAACTGAAATCTGGATTTTTCAAAAGATTAAAATCTATTTCTTCTATCTCTGACTACACAGAGGTCAGTGAAGTTGAGGAGCTTAATTAACTCTCCTTGGTTTTCTTTTCTAGGGTTTTCTAGAATGGTTTTGGCTTTCATCTGTTAACTAACATCTAACTTGCTTTCCAGTCTTTGCTGGAAAGCAGCCATAGGACAAAGCACCACAGTTTTCACCCTTTATGAAGATACCTTGCTCTGTTAAAGATGCTGCGTCAACTACAATAGTGTAATTCTTTGCATAGTGCCCAAAATACTGATTAGTATTCATAGGAGAGTGCAGAACACATGCTTCACTTACAATCCACTTACAACTCTGAATAGGTAAAAGACCCCCTTGTGTATATTGTGATATCTGGTATATTTTAGATTAGTATGTCTTCAAAATGCTTGATCAAATGCAGTTCATACATTGCAGATTAAGCACCTTAAACTACTTTTCTAATACATGTGTATCAGCACTGCATAACTGCCTAACCTCCACCCAATATACTTTAGCTATTTTGCCACATGAACCCTTACTTTCCATTTCTTCAGCAAATTCCCTGGAGAAAACAGTGAAAGGATTCTCTGGATATGTGAGACCCTTTGAGCAAAACCAGAAAGTTTCTTTTCTCCCTTCTTAAGGTTTACCAAAATGAATGTAATTTTAATACTCTAGTTTTTTGAAAAACACCACACGTGTTACATCTGGTGCCAGAGACACCAGCACCACACAGCCTGCTGCCTGCCACCGGGAGGAGGAACTCCAGGTCAGTTGTCTTCCCTCTACCAATTACCTTAATCCAGCAGAAGATTGGCTGCAGTTCAGAGAGCTTTTGGGGCTCTGAGGACTTTCAGATTTTCATTCCCTGAGGGAAACTGGTTAGCCTGCTGTGCTCAAAAGCTTTTCCCAAGTATATTTCTCTTCACCACAAACAGTGAAATTGCTCATCTTTTACCTCAGCAGAGAAAATACACTAGACATGGTGTGTTTGGAGCTGTCAGACAGGGTCAGGAAGTTTGAGAATAAAACTAAATAAATAAGCTGAAAAGTCAACATCCTAACACACTTGAAAAACACTTGATGGACCATAAAGGTATCAAGAGACCTGGGAAGAACTCTCAGGAGACTTGGCAAGAGACTTGGCTGAGAGCTGCATGAATGCAAACATGCCAGAACTGTGATGAGAGAAGCAATGAAAGACAGTGAATTTATAAAAGGGGGGTGGAGGGGGTGGTGGGCAGGGAAAGAGAAATTAAGAATAAGACATGGAGCCATCTGGGGAGCTGGAAAATAGGACAGGACTAGATTTCAAAAACAAGCCAAGAGGAACACCATTAGCAGTGATAATAAAAGCACTTTCAGAAACATCTGGGGGACATTGAAGCAATTAGTGAACAGAGAAGAAATGTTAGGGAAAATGCCACTAGGAAAAAAAAGCGATAAGCCAGGTCAAATTTAATCATAGCCAAGAAATGTTAAATAAATAAAAAACTGTAAAGCCTTTGTGTTAGACAAAGAAATATATCTGTAATGGAGTAACATGCTACAAGAATGGGTTGTCATTTCAATGGCTGAAAAAGGTGCTAGCATAATATTAATATTTTAAATCTTTAAAGTACTGTTATAAGTAAATTTATAATTATAATATTTTAAATTAAAATAATTATGACTGTATATATGGTTCTGATAAATAATGTAAGGATTTTACTATTTGTGTATTACACTTTTTGACGTACTATTATCTTTCTTTTCAGATGCAAATGAGATCAGAATTCACCATTCAAAATATTGGAAAATCCACACTGTTCCTATTCAATTCAAGATAAAGACAGACTATCTAGTCATATCACAATATAACAAATTCTGTTTAGTCATTTCACTATTTACAAGATTCAATTTTCAACCATTATGTTTTTTACTGGGCCCAGTCCAATCTCCAAAGAACTGGAAATTCAATCCATTAATCAAGTCTCCAGGGCTCACTCAGCATTCAGCACTGAAACACCTCTAGGTTACACATAAACTGTAGAGTTATGCTATGTTGTCAGTAGCTTATTTGTTGAAATTCCTAACGTAAATATTTCCACAACTTTTTTTCAAAATCAAAAATTTGCATTAGGTTTCATTTTGTCTAATTTTAATGCAGTAGCACTGAACCCATCAGAATAAAATCTGAGTTACAAAAAGTAGGAAAAACACAAAATAAACTCACTAAAACAAAATTATTTATCCAAGGTGCTTAAAGTAGATAGAATGGGTATAAATTTTTTAAAATAATTTTATTTCTATAATAGCATTTAATGCAGTATTCAGAGGTGAGATTTGCAGTATATACTGAAAAACAAGCTCCCAGCTCACACAAATAGTTCAGATGTTGTTTATCCTCAACAATTCACCATTTTACTAGGGGTGTTTTACTGTTGTGTTGTTCCAGGATCACTTCTTCACAACTTACCAAAACATAACTATCCTCAATGTACAAGTTCATGAACAGCAAGCAAACAACAAGGATTCCTAAGAACGACACTGCTGATCGTTTCCGCAAGCATCTCATTTTATCACAATATTTCAAGTTGTGTCTCGTGAAGAACTGCATACGGTAGTGTCACCTATGAATAAAACCACAGTATTACAAGAATGCTCCACCTGATAAGCATGGCAACAACTAAACTTACCTTCAGATGTTATCAAATCCCTTCAAACATACATAGACTGAACTTTTAGGCAGAATTAATTTCACGTAATCATTGTCATCTTCAGGTTTAATATACAATTTTAACTATAAACTAAGCTTCCTTCTTTTTTTTTTTGGTGTCAGTAAAGAAAAAACACATAGCCACTGTCATATCCGTTTTAAAGTGGGCATGTGATGGATGTTGCTGTGGCAGGAGTGCATCAACAGTTTAATTTGATATGCTTAACTGTCAGATCCCAGCTTGGTGGCTAGAGATGATTCTGGGCATTGCTCCCCCATGTGTCTGTGTCTCCTCTCAATAACAGGCCAGGTCAACAGGCAAGGAGGAAATTATTGTGTTACTCAGTGTTGTTACCAATAGAAGAATTCTGTCCGTCAGGCACAAATAAAGTACCTTCTCTGAAGCAAAAAAGCACTAGCAATGCATAACATCCCTTAGTATAATCTTTGTATCCTAGTGCAGAGGCCCAAGGCTAAGTGGAGGCATTATTTCCGTCTTCAGAAGAAAGGTGGATGTCTACCTTAAACCAGACACATCTAAGCAGAGTATTGGGAAATCCTTACCAACCCAATTAGATAAATCAAATAAGGGTGACACAGAGATCATGAAGCCCCTCAGTATTTCTGGTCAAGATCAAGAAAGAGGACTGTCTAGTCATATCATAATGCTGCATATTCATTTTAGTCTTTTTACTCTGGAAAACAAGATGAATACTGTTCTTGTCCACCAAATTGTAAGCACTAATCTGTGTAGGACTGTATGTGTTTGAAAAAGATTTGGCCCTAAATTAAAGATCTCACTGCCCAAACTCTGAGGGATTATTAGCAAAACACCAGACTATGAACTTATTATTTATGTATTATGTTCTTACTCATATTTTGATTATTTTCCACAGCAGTTTATGATTTTTTAATTGAATTTAATGTGTAGAAGTTAAATACAAATAAAGAATTTAAAGCTAGCCTGTGTAAAGCACTAAAAACCACTACACATGCAATGGTTAAACCCTGCACTTAAATGCCTTCATTTTTGAAAGGAGTTCCATAAATGATTTGTCATGTCACATACAAAATTTTATGTCCTAATAACAAAAAACCTACCAAGCACAAAATCCAATGTATATTTGTTTTGCCAAACTGAATAAACACATTTAACAATATAAAATATGAATCCATTAGACTCTAGAGAACCAGGAGGTAAGTACATAAAATATTTGTAATGCAATTAGTAATTGCAAGGAATCTATAGATTTGAAATGAACTGCAGTAAATGGGGCTGATTGTGCAGAGAATGTTTTTATATTCACTATGTTGAGAATAAAACCAATTTACAGGTTGCATGAAGAAAAAAAAGGAAACAATATACATTTTTGTCTGTCTTTATTTAGGGTGGGTTGAATTACAAAAACCTGATTATTTTGAAGCTGATATTTTTTTAAGTTACACCAAAGATTTAATTTTTCTTAATATCTAAGGACATTGGAAATAAACCTGAGGAAGGAGGTGCTGGGGGCATGAATGCCTAAAAACATAAAGCCTCCCTGTACCCCTGCAACTCACTGTGACAGCACAGTGGTTGCTAGTTGTCTGAGGATTCCAGCAAGCTGCTGTGGAAACGAGAGGTTGCCCCTGTTTTAGAAAAGACTGTGTTACACATACAATTTGGATTTCATTTTTATTTCATTCTCTTTTTTTGGTCCCCTTCTCCCCTGCCCCCTCCCTTCTTCTTCTCACAGTACAATTACTGATTTTCAATCCACTACACTCTTTTAAAAACCAATCAGAGGATGACTGGATGGTTTAAATACTGACACTTCTCATATTAGTGGCATTAACTATCCTGACTATTGAAAATGCAGTTAGTCTGGGTTAGGGTGCTTGCAGTCATTGTCAGCATATCACATTTCCCTTGGGTTTAAAAAATGAACAAACAAACAAAAAACCCCCAAACAAACTCGGAAACAAAGAAATAAATGTGGTTTTCTCAGTCACAGGATGAATGTATGTGACATATTTGCTGGCTGGACTGTGGTGTTACACAGGGCCCCCATCTTTGCCCTGAGCCACCTGTCTGAAGTCCCCAAGGGTGAGGAAGGGCTTAGAACTGTATTTCCTGGACATACTGTATTAGATCGTTCCCGTGTTGGTTTAGGAATAAATATAGAGGGGATTATATAGGTGAAGCTAGAGGAGCTGTCATGACTAAAACTGATGTACACAGAGAGAGGAGGGCACAGCACAGTCACGCTCACTGCTAGCGCTGGTCGCACACGAAGCCATTGCATCACTGGCTTGCACATGGAAACATCTGGAAGCACAACATCGTGCCAGCGGGGGCTGTTTGTTCATCCGATCTCTTGGTAGGTCCATATCAGCTAAAGGCAGGGAAGGGAGGAACGCCCCAAGGCGGCGGTCTGGGCGGATGCCGTCCCGGCGGAGGCTGTGACACCGCGGGTGGCACCAGGTGGCAGCGCAGCCCCGCCCGTGCCAGCCCCGCCTGCTGCTCGCCGCTGTCCCCGGCCAGGCTCCGCTGGAGCTGCTGCCTGACCGCCTTACGCCGTGAGCCTTTGGCTAAGAACGCACCCAGAACCATACATTTTGAACAGGAGAAAAAAAAAAAAAAAAAAAAGGAAAATCTTACCTTTTTTTTTTTTTTTTTTGGTTATGTCTTCAATTCATAATTCAATTCTGAAGGCACAGCTTTGTTTGAAGATTTTATGCCTTCATTATTCATGCACAATTAAGTAGCTATTAGAATGGTATAAATGCAATTTGTTCCATAAAGCTGGCATTAAACAGTTAAACAAAATAATTAATAAACATGCATAAATTATAAATATTTTCCTTTTCAGATGAGATATGTTGCTTTCCTCAGTCTCTGGAGAGGGAACTTGTAAGACCACAGATCTGCATGTACATGTATGTGCTGCTATCAGACCTACATGTGCAGTTTTACATGGTAATATGTAATTGTAATTCCTTTGACTTTTTAAAACAATAAACAGTGAAGAGGTGGTGAGCCAAAAAATACAATGATATGCCTTTACAGTAGGTAGATGCTGTTCTTTATAGGATCTACAAAGATGTGAAATCTCTGTTAAAGGTCAAGAATTGATTTTCACACGATACTGGGAGGTTTTCTCTTGCAGAATTTGCAACACTCAGAAGAATTTTAAATTTCTTTTTTAAAAAAGTAAATCCCAAATGAAAGAGACCGAAAATTGAAATTAAAATATTTAAATTTATTAAAATTTTAAAACAAATTTCAATTTGGATTTCAATATGGTGATTCCCAAAAGGAAAAAATGACATAAATATTTTTTTTCCTTATTTTCCTTTTTTCAGGGGAAAATACTTTTTTTTTGCCATCCAAAGAATAATTTCTCTAGGTAACATTCATGTACACTCACTCTGGTAAACCATTTCATATTTGATCCATTCTAGTTCTTCATCACATTCTGATAATACTAGGGATCTGTGCTTTGTCCTGCTTTTAGAGATTATCACTTATTTTCTTTACATATTTCCTCCATAAACAGATGAAAAGGCCCTGTGGTGTTACTTTACCATTAAGGATGCCTGCACAAGTTAGGGATTTAGATTTACCTAACCAGTACAGTTAATCTGCTTGTATCTACAGCTGTACAGGGGTGGAGCAACAAGGTCATCTTTGTATTATATTCTGGTCTGCTTGAGTGCTGTGCCCCAGCATCTCAAAAAAAAAAGTTGCTTATTTAGAGAGGCATTGATGGCTGTGAGAAATAGCAACTAAATTATTTCAATATTTTCAAACGAGGCATTTATTTTTTTTTCATTTTTTCATTTTCATTGTTTTTTGGAAGGCTGCACACAATATCTCAAGAATTGCATTCAGTTATCTTTATAAAGTCACAAAGGAAACAGGTCCAAAAAAAAAAGGAAAACCCCCAAAACAATCCAGATTTTTTTACATGGTTATTATTACATTTTGCATGTACCATGATTTTCTTATGCAAGAGTAACAAAAACAAATCCTAAATTGTGATGTAGAATTGAGCTACAGAGGGCAGTGTACTAGAGAATTGTAAACAATAGGCTGTTCCAGGGGGCTCAGATAGACCCCAGGCAGATTCACTGCCTTACTGAAAGCCTGAATGTACACATAAAATGTTTAAGGCTGACAGGCAGGATGTTCACTGCCACTGGCAGCAGGGGAATAAAAACTAGTTTGAAGAAAAGGAAAGTTTAACTCAGAATGAAGCTAAGAAATCCAGAGGAGCTCAGGTTTTAAACTAGCCATAAGCAGATTGTGTGGCTCCACATGCTCAAATAAATGGTTTAAAGATTATTACATCGTCTGAAATCCGAGTTCTAGATACAGGAGGTTAAAAAATGAAGATGTATTAATAGGCAGATTACTCAAAAGTGACACTGATAAAAGGATGGGCAAAAGAAGTAGGTTTTAGAAAAGAATTTGAAAGGTGTCATTATCCTTGATTCACAGAAAGTGAGAGATTATTTCAAACACTAATGTAGCATACAGATCCAAACAGTTTTGGAAAAGGGATCAGAGTTTGGGAGGAAACTGATGATTCAGCTGAGGCAAGTTACTGAACAATGCAGAAAAGTCAAGAGCTTAAATTCAAAGCAGGTGTTGGTGGATGAAGTGTCTTTCCTGTCTGACAGCTTTAGAGTGATATAAAATGGAGTCACAAAACTCTGGCTGTAACAGTCTGAGCAAAATGTAGAGCATTTCTTCTGGCATGGAAGAGTCAAGTCTAATCAAGGGGAAGAGATGACTAAGAAATATGATGTTGCATTGACTTAGATGGTAGAGCACTATCTAATCCATCATTGGATGGATGGCTGTATACCACTGGATATATTTTATCAAGTAAGTTGTAGTGTAAAATATGAGTTTTAGAAAAATGATAT